ATATATAAGTTAATCTTTGGTGACAATAATAAAGTAAAAGTAATCTGTAGTAAGTGGCCACATTAATGAACTTTAAAATAAAAGACTAGAACGTATATCTGTGTCTGGCTTCAAAGACAAGCAAGTTACAGTTTGATTGTAACTTATTAAGAGTTTGTAATGAGAAAAATAGGGAGAGAATTTGAGATAATTAAGCTTTCTGCTGCAACATTTTCAGTCATTTTCCACATTAAGAAAAACCAACAGTTTAACGTGTTGGGTGGATGGATACCCAATCATTGACACATTGGTATTTGTGTTACTGTTGCGCTATGTTGCTGGATACTTTAGATTCTTGAAATCACGTCTTGCTTGTGTAATTCTGTATCAATTTTGTGGCCAAAGAATACAATTTAAAATAATATATATATATAATTTACGCTAATTTTAACTTTTTTTGTAATAGTGTACAAACAGCGCTTCTGTTAATTACAATGCAGTAATTGTTATTCCAGTGCAATTGTACATGAAGTGTAAACTATAACGTGGAAATTGTAGTACTCTGATTTAAATGTTTTCATAAAACAAGGGGGCACCCGGGATTGAACCAGGGACCTCTCGATCTGCAGTCGAATGCTCTACCACTGAGCTACACCCCCTATGGAGAGTAGTGTGTGTGTTGAGCTCAACGCATATAATAGTTACAAATTTATTATATATATATATATATATATATATATATATATATATATATATATATATATATATATATATATATATATATATATATATATATATATATATATATATATATATATATATATATATATATATATATATATATATATATATATATATATAGACCTCGTCCAGCTCCTCGGAGGTTGGGTGCGTACCCAGGATACAGCACGCATTTCCACTCTGAACTGCGACACTGAGGCGCTGGAACAGGAAACTAGCTGCTCGTGGGTCTCTAAGTTTTCCCAATGAGTTCCTCACCAACCTCCTTTAAAAACTTGAGTCCACATTTACCCCAGGCGCCCAGAGTCTCAGAGCCAATCGGCACGAACCTGTAATAACGTTCTAGGTCTCTGTACTTGTTGATTTTCTGGGTCTCCCTGAAGGTGGGTGCCCCACCTCCCTCCACTGAGCTGTAACGTAAATAGGTATCATCCAATGTAGATGCACAGGTGTAATCCCATACGACCTGTTTACCTTCCCTTTATGGCTGCAGGGTGACTCCATCTGGGCGTTTTGGGCTGTTGTCAGGTCTGCACAACTGGGGTTCCCTTTGTGCTGGCCACCCAGCTGTAGCCAAATTTCTCTTGATGATGTCATTGACTCCTTCATGTCTGGCAATCTTTCCCTGTGTCTTACGACAGATGAGACCATGGCTGCCGTATTGGTCTGCCCGTGCATGGCCGCAAATACACCGGTGTTCGGTGGAGATAGGGGCGGCAAGGCGCAGAGCAACACTAATACTTAGGGTCCGATGGTCCAGGCGGGTGCCCTAGGCGGAATTAGGGACTGCCAACAGGAAGTCCTCACCATGGGGGCCTTGCACAGCTAGCAGACGCGCTCTGTCCTTCTGAGAAGCTGCGTCCAGCAATGCTTTGGCAATGTTCTCCACTATGGGGCTATCCCATTTGGCCTGTTTACCGTCGTTTAGAAAAGTTGGTCGTATATATATATATATATATATATATATATATATATATATATATATATATATATATATATATATATATATATATATATATATATATGTCGTACCTAGTAGCCAGAACTCACTTCTGAGCCTACTATGCAAGGCCCGATTTGCCTAATAAGCCAAGTTTTCATGAATTAATTGCTTTTCGACTACCTAACCTACCTAACCTAACCTAACCTAACTTTTTCGGCTACCTAACCTAACCTAACCTATAGAGATAGGTTAGGTTAGGTTAGGTAGGGTTGGTTAGGTTCGGTCATATATCTACGTTAATTTTAACTCCAATAAAAAAAAATTGACCTCTTACATAATGAAATGGGTTGCTTTATCATTTCATAAGAAAAAAATTAGAGAAAATATATTAATTCATGGAAACTTGGCTTATTAGGCAAATCGGGCCTTGCATTGTAGGCTGAAAAGTGAGTTCTGGCTACTAGGTACGACATATATATATATATATATATATATATATATATATATATATATATATATATATATATATATATATATGAATGAAAACTCACACCCCAGAAGTGACTCGAACCCATACTCCCAGAAGCAACGCAACTGGTAACTACAGGGCGCCTTAATCCGCTTGACCATCACGGCCGTCAAAAGGAAGTGATAGCCGAGGCTATTTGAGCCACTTCCCCGACGGCAACTCGGATGGTAATCTTGGGCATAGCATTTCACCAAATCACCTCATTCTTTGGGGCACACGTGAGGAACATCATCATTATTCCGAGTTGCCGTCGGGGAAGTGGCTCAAATAGCCTCGGCTATCACTTCCTTTTGACGGCCGTGATGGTCAAGCGGATTAAGGCGCCCTGTAGTTACCAGTTGCGTTGCTTCTGGGAGTATGGGTTCGAGTCACTTCTGGGGTGTGAGTTTTCATTCGCATATAGTCCTGGGGACCATTCAGGCTTGTTCGCATATATATATATATATATGTCGTATCTAGTAGCCAGAACGCACTTCTCAGCCTACTATGCAAGGCCCGATTTGCCTAATAAGCTAAGTTTTCCTGAATTAATAGATTTCTCTCATTTTTTTCTTATGAAATGATAAAGCTACCCATTTCATTTTGTTTGAGGTCAATTTTTTTTTATTGGAGTTAAAATTAACGTAGATATATGACAGAACCTAACCAATCCTACCTAACCTAACCTAACCTATCTTTATAGGTTAGGTTAGGTTAGGTAACCGAAAAAGTTAGGTTAGGTTAGGTTAGGTACGTTAGGTAGTCGAAAAACAATTAATTCATGAAAACTTGGCTTATTAGGCAAATTGGGCCTTGCATAGTAGGCTTAGAAGTGCGTTCTGGCTATTAGGTACGACATATATATATATATATATATATATATATATATATATATATATATATATATATATATATATATATATATATATATATATATATATAACTGCATATATATATATATATATATATAACTGCATATATATATATAACTGGAGATGCATCATTATGTCCGGTCGTGATGGTCAAGTGGATTAAGGCGTCTTGTACATACCAGTTGCGTTGCTTCTGGGAGTATGGGTTCGAGTCACTTCTGGGGTGTGAGTTTTCAGTTGCATATTGTCCTGGGGACCATTCAGGCTTGTTCGCATATATATATATATATATATATAATGAGAGCAAGGGCACCTGGTGTAACAACGACATGAGAGCAAGGGCCCCTTGTGTAACAACGACAGGCAAGAGAAGGGGCCCCTTGTGTAACAACGACATGAGAGAATGGGGCCCCTTGTGTAACAACGACATGAGAGTTTGGGGCCCCGTTGTGTACAACGTCATGAGAGCAAGAGCCTCATGTGCAATAACGACATGAGAACAAGGGCCCCTTTTGTAACAAAGACATGAGAGCAAGGGCCCCTTGTGTAACAACGACATGAGAACAAGGGCCCCATTGAGTAACAACGACATGAGAGCAAGGGCCCCTTGTCTAACAACGACATGAGAGTAATTGCCACTTGTCTAACAACGACATGAGAGCAAGGGTCGCCCTTGTGTAACAACGACATGAGAGCCAGGGCCCCTTGTCTAACAACGACATGAGAGCAAGGGCCCCTTGTGTAACAACGACATGAGAGCCAGGGCCCCTTGTCTAACAAGGACATGAGAGCAGGGCCCCTTGTCTAACAACGACATGAGAGCAAGGGCCCCTTGTGTAACAACGACATGAGAGCCAGGGCCCCTTGTGTAACAACGACATGCAAGCAAGGGCCCCTTGTGTAACAACGACATGCAAGCAAGGCCCCTTGTGTAACAAACACATGAGAGCAAGGCCCCTTGTGTAACAACGACATGCAAGCAGGGCCCCTTGTGTAACAACGACATGAGAGCAAGGGCCCCTTGTGTAACAACGACATGCAAGCAAGGGCCCCTTGTGTAACAACGACATGCAAGCAAGAGCCCCTTGTGTAACAACGACATGCAAGCAAGGCCCCTTGTGTAACAACGACATGCAAGCAAGGCCCCTTGTGTAACAAACACATGCAAGCAAGAGCCCCTTGTGTAACAACGACATGCAAGCAAGAGCCCCTTGTGTAACAACGACATGCAAGCAAGAGCCCCTTGTGTAACAACGACATGAGAGCAAGAGCCCCTTGTGTAACAACGACATGAGAGCAAGAGCCCCTTGTGTAACAACGACATGAGAGCAAGAGCCCCTTGTGTAACAACGACATGAGAGCAAGAGCCCCTTGTGTAACAACGACATGAGAGCAAGGCCCCTTGTGTAACAACGACATGAGAGCAAGAGCCCATTGTGTAACAACGATAAGAGAGCAAGAGCCCATTGTGTAACAACGACATGAGAGCAAGAGCCCATTGTGTAACAACGACATGAGAGCAAGGCCCATTGTCTAACAACGACATGAGAGCAAGGGTCGCCCTTGTGTAACTAGGACATGAGAGCAAGGGTCGCCCTTGTCTAACAACGACATGAGAGCAAGGGTCGCCCTTGTGTAACTAGGACATGAGGGCAAGGGCCTAATACTAATGCTGACTGGCCGAGTATTCGAGCTGATTGGCCGGATACTCAAGCTGACTGGCCGAGAATTCAAGCTAGCTGGCCGGGTACTTAAGCTGACAGGCCGATTACTCAAGCTGTCTGGCCGATTAATCAAGCTGATTGGCAGAGTACTGGAGCTGACTGGCTGAGTACTCAAGCTGAATGGCCGAGTACTCAAGCTGACTGTCCGAGTACTCAAGCTGACTGGCCGAGTACTCGAGCTGACTGGCTGAGTACTCGAGCTGACAGGCCGAGTACTCAAGCTGTCTGGCCGATTAATCAAGCTGACTGGCAGAGTACTGGAGCTGACTGGCTGAGTACTCGAGCTGACTGGCCGAGTACTCAAGCTGACTGGCCGAGTACTCAAGTTGACTGGCCGAGTAAGCGAGCTGTCTGGAAATGTACTCAAACTGACCGGCCGAGTACTCAAGCTGACTGTCCGAGTACTCGAACTGACTGGCCGAGTACTCGAGCTGACTGGCCGAGAACTCAAACTGACTGACCGAGTACTCAAACTGACTGCCCGAGTACTCAAGCTGACTGGCCGAGTACTCAAGCTGACTGGCCGAGTACTTAAACAAACTAGTCGAGTACTCAAGCTGAATGGCCGCGAGTACTCAAGCTGACTGGCCAAGTACTAATGCTGACTGACCGAGTATTCGAGCTGACTGACCGAGTACTCAAGCTGACTGGCAGAGTACTGGAGCTGACTGGCCGAGAACTCAAGCTGACTGTCCGAGTACTCAAGCTGACTGGCCGAGTACTCAAGCTGATTGACCGAGTACTCAAACTGACTGGCCGAATATATTAGGAATAGTACTTAGTTTTTCTCTTAAACTGGTTGAGACAGGTACAGCCGTTGTCATGATTGGGGGAGGTCATTCCACATTTTGGGTCCCTTGATTTGTTGAGTATTTCTAGTTTGATTAAGGTTCGCTCATGGAATATCAAATAGGAATTAGTTTCTGGTGTTGTGCCCATGGGTTCTGTTACAACCTCCTAGGAAACTGTTAAGGTCAGGATTGACATTACAGTTCTGAGTCTTAAATATATAGAGTACACATGAGAGGATGTGCAGTGACTTAATACCTAACATGTTCAAAGATTTGAGTAAGGGTACTGAGTGCTGTCTGGGGCCATAGTTAGATATTGTTCTAATAGCAGCTTTGTGTTGAGTAATTAGAGGACGTAGATGATTTTGTGTAGTAGAACCCGAAGCACAAATACCATAATTGAGATTGGGATAGATGAGAGAGTAATAGAGTAATACTACTGCAAACAGGATGGATATAGGGTCCAAAACGAGTCACACGATGCTCATGGGATCCAGTATACCTCCTAAAAGGATAGGTATTGGGCCATCTGCCACCTTTTGGATAGGTACGGGATCCACTACAACCCGCAGGACGTGTATGGGGCCCACTACCGCCCACAGAATTATTTTGGGGTCCATTACCGCCCACAAGATAGGATCTATGTCCTCACTCAGGATGGGTATGGGGTCCACTACCGCCTACAGTATGGGTATGGGATCACTACCACCCACAGGATGGGTATTGGGTCCATTAGCTACCCCCCCCCATAGGATGGGTATACACGGGACGCCTACTACCACCCACTGGATGGGTATGGGGTCTACTACCACCCACAGTAGGAGTATGGGGTTCACTACCACATACAGGATGGTGTATGGGGTATAGTACCACCCACAAGATGGATATGGGGCCCACTACCATTCGCAGGATGGGTATGGGGTCCAATAGCACCTACAAGATGGGTATGGGATTCACTACCACCCACACGATGGGAATGGGATCCACTACCACCCACAGGATAAGTATGGGTTCCATTATCACCTACAAGATGGGTATGGGGTTCACTACCACCCACAGGAGGGGTATGGGGTTCACTACTACACACAGGATGGGGTATGGGGTCCAGTACCACCCAGAAGATGAATATGGGGCTCACTATTACCCGCAGGATGGGTATGGGGTCCACTAGCACCTACAAGATGGGTATGGGGTACATTACCACCCATACGATGGGTATGAGGTCCACTACCACCCCCAGTATGGGTATAGGGTCCTCTACCACCCACAGAATAAGTATAGGGTCCACTACCACCCACAAAATGGGTATGGAGTCCACTGACGCCCATAGGATGAGTATGGGGTCTTCTACTACCTACAAGTTGGGTATGGGGGTCCACTACTACCTACAAGTTGGGTGTGGGGTCAATTACAGCTCAATGATAGATATATATTCCACTACTTCCTTCGGGGTGTTGATATTGGAAGTGGTGGCGTTGTTGGGAGTGGTTCGGAGTTATAAGTAGACTGTTGGATTTCAGGATAAAACAAGTATATACTATGCCTAAAGCACTAATTCGCACAGCGTTTTGGGGAAGATCTGGGAAAAACCTTAAAAACTAAGACTTAAGACTAACTGCGATAAACAGCATGAACTGAACTGTTTAGGAGATAAGGTAGGTTACAAGAAGTTGATTATGTAGTACTTAGTTGTTTTTCTCTTAAACTGGATGATAAAGAGGCAATCTTTAACGTGATTGGGAATACATATACACACACATACATACATACATACATACATACATACATACATACATACATACATACATACATACATACATACATACATACATACACGTCCAGTCAGCATATTGCTATTTCGGAACAAAATCCACTACAATTTATATTGGTGCACTGTGATGAGGAGTTTAAATATCACAGGAACTGTAGGTTAATGTATGACATAAGTGAGGTTAGATGAGGCATCTAGATAGAAGCACAAACCAGTAAATCTGTAAGATGGTACAACATGGTTGCAGCTGGTAATCCCAATCATTATGGACGAAGAGGAGGAGGACGCGAGAGAGAATCAGTAATAGCGAGAATCTGTCTTGGATACAAATATCCATGGAGATACGGAATGGAAACAACAGTTGATCAGCGAAGTTGCAGAATCTGTGATGAGAGTGATGGACACCGCCTTGACCACTATCTATGTGAATGTGAACATCTGAGAGACATTAGAAATATGTTTAAAATAATAAACCCCACATTGTTTGAATTAGGAAAACAATTTGTCAATTATTGATACTGTTCTTCTTTATTTATTTATTTATTATTATTTATTTATTTATCTATATACAAGAAGTTACGTTGGGGGTTAACAGAGGATATAGAAAATAAGGTGAATTAACATTCTTGTAAAGCCACTAGCACGCAGAGCGTTTCTTAAAAGATTTCCCCATTTTACACCCGCAAGATAGCGTAAGCTTTTAAAGGCTTGCAGATGTAAATCTTCTTGTTTGAGGAGCTGTTCACTTGAGACAGTTAAGCAAGTCCCAACTGTGTCCGGGTACAAGTGACAGGATGAACAACCCAGCGGGATTTCTTCCTTTTGGGGAGTGTTGTCCATACTGCTATTGCGATATGTCCACTCACTAGATGAGTGGCGCTGCCCAATAAACTCGCTCCTCGGGGTACAATCTAAAAAAAATGACGCATCTACAAGCATCAGATGTAGGCTGGGGGAGTGTTGTTGTGGAGTTTGCAGGTATTTTGCCCAGATGTTGGAGGGTGGTTTAGACCGTCCCACCACCCACGTTGACCACAGAACGTATTGGGTTACCTTCCATTCTCCCTTACCAAGGGAAAAACACACACACACACACACACGCTCACGCACGCATCAGATTCTTAACTTACAATATTTATGATTTACCAATTTATGTTATTACATAGACTCTCAATTTCATAATATTGTATAAACTTTAGAACTTAAAATTTGTCAATCTGTTTCATAAATTGATAACCTTGTTAATTATCAATTAATCATTAATTTATTCACTTAAATATTTTCACATTAATATTAGCGACTATATAGACTTTTTTGTTACAATATTCCAGCATTGTTAATGGACTCTGAAGCCTTAAGCTAGTACATCTGTGTCTCCAGTCAATATTTGTCTGTTCCAATTGTTTATTTTGCGGTAGTGGACCCCATACCCATCTTGCGGGTGGTAGTGGACCCCATACCCATCTTGTGGGTGGTAGTGGACCCCATACCCATCTTGTGGGTGGTAGTGAACCCCATACCCATCTTGTGGGTGGTAGTGGACCCAATACCCATCTTGTGGGTGGTAGTGGACCCCATACCCATCTTGTGGGTGGTAGTGGACCCCATACCCATCTTGTGGGTGGTAGTGGACCCCATACCCATCTTGTGGGTGGTAGTGGACCCCATACCCATCTTGTGGGTGGTAGTGGACCCAATACCCACCGTATGAGTAGTAGTGGACCCCATACCCATCTTGTAGGTGGTAGCGGACCCCATACCCATCTTGTGGGTGGTAATGGACCCCATACCCATCATGTGGGTAGTAGTGGACCCCATACCCATCATGTGGGTGGTAGTGGACCCAATACCCACCGTATGAGTAGTAGTGGACCCCATACCCATCATGTGGGTGGTAGCGCACCCCATACCCATCTTGTGGGTGGTAATGGACCCCTAACCCATCATGTGGGTAGTAGTGGACCCTATACCCATCATGTGGGTGGTAGCGGACCCCATACCCATCTTGTGGATGGTAGTGGACCCCATACCCATCATGTGTTCATTGCTGTGTTCTTTTATGTGCTAGCCATATGCTGTATTGTGCCTACTAATTTTCGTTAAACTACCTTTCAAGCTGTCATTGCAATCAATCTGAGCTACCAATGTGCTTTAATATACCTACAAATTTCTCTCATCTTTTATTTTTTTCTTGCTATGTACCTGTTATCATTTTAAAAAATTTTGCTAGTATCTACCTACTAAAAATTTTCTTAGATTAAGGACCTGCCCGAAACGCTGCGCGTACTAGTGGCTTTACAAGAATGTAATTATTATGCTATGTATCCTCACAATCCCAATGTACCTTCTTGTATGTATATATATATAAATAAATAAATAAATGTGAGTGGTAGTGGACCCCATACCCATCTTGTGGGTGGTAGTGGACCCCATACCCATCTTGTGGGTGGTAGTGGACCCCATACCCATCTTGTGGGTGGTAGCAGACCCCATACCCATCTTGTGGGTGGTAGTGGACCCCATACCCATCTTGTGGGTGGTAGCAGACCCCATACCCATCTTGTGGGTGGTAGTGGACCCCATACCCATCTTGTGGGTGATAGTGGCCCCCATACCCATCTTGTGGGTGGTAATGGACCCTATACGCATCATGTGGGTGGTAGCAGACCCCATACCCATCTTGTGGGTGGTAGTGGACTCCATACCCATCATGTGGGTGGTAGTGGACCCCATACCCATCTTGTGGGTGGTAGCAGACCCCATACCCATCTTGTGGGGTGGTAATTGTAAAGGGCCCCATACCCATCATGTGGGTGGTAGTGGACCCCATACCCATCTTGTGGGTGGTAGTGGACCCCATACCCATCTTGTGGGTGGTAGTGGACCCCATACCCATCTTGTGGGTGGTAGCAGACCCCATACCCATCTTGTGGGTGGTAGCAGACCCCATACCCATCTTGTGGGTGGTAGTGGACCCCATACCCATCTTGTGGGTGGTAATGGACCCTATACGCATCATGTGGGTGGTAGCAGACCCCATACCCATCTTGTGGGTGGTAGTGGACTCCATACCCATCATGTGGGTGGTAGCAGACCCCATACCCATCTTGTGGGTGGTAGCAGACCCCATACCCATCTTGTGGGTGGTAGTGGACCCCATACCCATCTTATGGGTGGTAGTGGACC